ACAACAGAGGTCCTGAATGCTGAGCTACAGAACCTTGGCTTCCCTCAATAGTCAGTGGAGACACCTGAAGGTTCCAGGCCAACATAGCCTTCTACTCACATCTGTTAGTACAGTTAGTTGTCACAAGATACCCAAGCAATCATTTAAAACTGTCAGCTAACCTCCCCTGCTCAAAATCCTCTTAAGGCTTTCATATCACTCAGAATGAAACCCAAACCCTCACATGTCCTAATCTGCCTAATTTTACTTAGGATGAGAAGCAGTATGATATTCTCAGGCAACTAAAAGCATGGCAGAGAACATGTGAAAGATATGACCATCCCAAAGACCCAGCTGGATGTCTCCTAAGAAATTTAGATGTATATTAAGGTCCATAAATTCATCTATACTCCAAAACTCTTGCTGAAAGAGGAGTACAAAGTTGGATGTATGCTCTTCCCTTATAAAGGCTGCCTCAAGATCTATTTCTTGCTCAAATGCTGAAGGGAAGTATTCTGACTCTGCACAAGTCTTAGAAAGTAAACAATGAATGGTGAAAGGCAATATTCTTCTGGGAAAAGTGCTCAAGGCATTGAACCTCCTTGTATGTTTATGGTGATAGTTTGGGAAATGGACTATCAGCATTCAATAAATATTATTGAACATTTACTAGGTATCAAACTCTGTGTTCTATACCAATGATAAAGATGCATGTCATAAATCTTGGTCTAATGGAAAAAAGACATTCTTGGTCTAATAGGAAAAGATTGATATGTAAGTATGATGTGATTGGTATGTAAATAAGGTATCAAAAATGATGCCAAATTAGTATGGCAAGTGGGATTTTATAAAGAGTTTTCTCTTTTAAAGGAGAGGATACTTGAACTGGGTCTTGAAGCTAATTTCTAATGACTAATTACTAATAACTAACAGTTATTTTCTATAATTTTTTATGTGGCTGATTGGGATTTGACATGCCAAGCAAATCTAATTAGCCAAATAGTACTGAGACTCCTAAGTTTAGTGCTATTGGCCTTAATCACTTGTGCTCCAAATCACTGAGTTAACAAGTCTCACACAAACACACACACACACACACACACACGAACAAAAATAAATATCAGTCAATGGAACTAAAGTTATATAGTAATAGGATACCACAAGCCAATGAACCCCAATGTCATCATTTTTTAAATGAGATATACATGTACTAGCATATGTATATCATTGCATTTTGTGAAAAATAATTGTATTTGTATCTGCTGCCTAGACTACTCACCTCTACCATGACTCTTTGGAGAAACCCTCTCATATTTGTTCACTATATTTATATCCTAATGTTCCATATATAATTTTTTATTTATATATTCAATTAAAATGAACCTTTCCTCGAGTGGAGATTGACTTTTATTAATTTTTAGCTCTGTTCAATCCCTAGCACATAAAAAGTGTTCAATATCTACTTAAGAAGTATGAATCATGATATATGACTTGGCATTAGGTAATGGACCTCACATTATCTTAACTACTTACACTCTGTTTTTTGGCATACTAATGGTCAATAGCTATTCTACAGTTCATTTCTTATAGTAATTGAATGCTAACAATGCAGCAACAGGTCTCTACTTTATTTTAGGACTAATAGAAGTATTGCATTCACAAAACTAAAAAATACATCAATATGAGACATCCATGAACAAACATATACTCTGTTAGTTGCAAAGTAGTATTTAATTTTTAAACATATTATTGATATACCTTTGTCTAAGACAATAGGAGGCTAGGTATAAGGTAAAAACACATAGGGGAAAAGATGACATTGAAGGTATAGGATAAAATGGAGTATATAGAGTATTATGGCTATATATGAAATTAAGGAACAAAAGAACCATATTTCTCATATTAACTTTTGTATTCCCAGTACTTCATACAGTGCATGGTACCTAGTTCAGTACATATTTGCTGGATAGCTGAAAGAGGTATATTGAAGATTCTCTAGCCTGTAGGCAACTGCCTTGCCTTAGAAGAAATTCCTTTTATAAGAGAAAAAGACCCCTTTTAATTCTGACCTATTTATTTATTTAACTGAATTGTCCATTCAACATAAATTTGTTAAGGATCTACTATGTACCAGACTTTATGTCTGGAAACATCAAATTAAATAAAACATGAACTAGGAGAGTTTCCAATCTAGTAAAGTAGATTATGTACCAGAATAGATATATTAGCAGTGCAGTGTTATAGTTGTATAAAAAGAAATATATATGGTGACCTAATGACACACTAGGATAATCTGCTCAGCTTGTTGGAGAAGAGGAGATTTAAAAAAGATTGCCCCCCAAAATGCACTTTAAAGTACAGATATGGAGATTTGAGGGCCCTTTATATTCTACCCACTTAATGCACTATTTAATTAGTCAAGATAATAAAATTTTATCTTTGTTATACATGCTTAGTTTTTGAGATTTATTTCTTATTTATGAAATCGTTTTATATGCTTTGTGTGTTATTAGTCCTTTACTGTTATACTGGTTTGATTGCACTCAAGATTCTTTAAAAACCACAGCAAAAATAACTCTGAAATAGCTGTCATTGAGAAGGCAACAAACCAATTAAATATTTATTTATATATTTTAAAATACAACATCTTTCTAGGCTTGAACAAGAGAAAGTAATGTAAGGAGTTTTGTGGTTTTATATTAGACTTGTTATATATCAAACCTTTGTCCAATGATAAAGATGTATTTTCTACATAATCTTTTCATACTTTTAGGACACATTTGTGATGCAAATAGAAGCATTAAATAGTTGTTTTTGCTCTGTGTTTACTAAAGAATAATAATCTTAGCCCTTGAATCTCATTCACCTGGAACCAACAATTGTAATGTGAAGAAAACTTCCTACTGGCAGGGTCCAATGCATCTGTCAGCCCCTCTAATTTCTAGAGGTATAAACAAGGCAATTTGTTCTTCTTGTAATGTGGAAATATAGTCTTTGGTGAAAGTTCCATTAAAAACTACCTGCTGGTAATTCAAAGTCAGTGACTAAAACTGCTTCCTGGTTTGAGTTATGGATTTGGCGGTGAAATAATACATTTTTATTACATTATTTATTTTGTATTAGACAACAGTGCTTGAAATCCAGGTTTCATTAAGAAAAAGTAGTTAAGAGTATGTTGGTAAGGTTTCTTTTATTGTTGCTGTTATAATTATTATGGTAAGTGAGAATCAGTCTCAGGCAAGGCTGAGCATGTCTGCGACATTCAATTTCTGGAACACAGTATAATTCGCATTCAAAGAGGTAACTATTCTCTTGTGAAATGAAGTGAAATTCATTCAGTAGACTCCCACCATATCCCAAGCATGGTCAGTCTCCGGGTGAAATCTCTCAGTAAAAATTCAACTTGTCTATTAGCCAAGTACCACATAAGCTTCTCATAAAACAGTGATCTTTCTAATCTATATTATAAAGTAATACGCAAATTAGGCTAGGACTCTGTAACAGGTCACTACCAGACAGGAGGAAGTTGCACGTGCAGGTGAGTCCTGTAGGGGAGATGGAGACAGAGGTAGAGGGGCTGTCCTAGTCACCGGAGCAGACACAGGCAGAGGGGTCGGGGGATGCTGAGTCAAAAGTGGGTCCTGGCCCCCCATGGGTGCCTCCTCGCATGGTGGGAGGTGGGGCGTTTCCTCTCCTGTGATTTCAATCACACGCTGGACTGGACCTCTCGTGTGTAAATAAATGTAATCATACCATTCAACAGTTCCAAATTCTTCAAAATTTTCTTTACTATAGAGCTAAACTCTTTTATTATAGTCAAGATCATTTATATGCCTAGAGTCCCAGTTTTATTTCCCTCTACGTCAGGCCTCTTTTTCATAGTGCAACAATACTAATCTACTTTCAGATCCTAGACTATATGTTGTGCTCTCTCTTTTCCTCATGCTTTTGAATATATTGTAACCTCTACCCAAATGACCATCCCCTTGGGTAAACTTCTCTGTTAAATCACCCCTCCTTTGCACAGTCAGATTTAAATACACAATTTTCTGTGTCATTGAAGTTTGCACATGAAACTCTGATATTTCTAAGGTTATATTATTTATTTTTGAATATATTTCATCACCTCCATAAATATTATTGGAAAAAAGAATTTATTGTTTGCTATTCTAACATTTATTACAATATTTTACCAGTAAAAAATATTCGCAAATATATGTATAATGTAACTTATATGTTGAATCTAAGAAAGCTGAACATATAAAAATAAGAGTAGGATGGTGTTTAACAGTAACTGAAATTGGGATTGTTGTTTAATGATACAAACTTGGAACTCGTTGAGAAATTAAGTCCTGGAAACTTAATGCATGGCCATGGCATAGTAATTATAGTCAACAATACTGTATATAACCTTAAAGATTGCTAGTAGACTAGATCTTAATTATTCAACTACAGGAAAGAAATGATAATTATATGATGAAATGGAGGTGTCAGCTAACACTATGGTGGTAATAATATTGCAATATATAAAGGTATGAAATCAACACTGTTGTACATCTTAAATTTTCACAATGTCATATGTCAATTTTATCTTAATACAAATATGTTTTTGAAAAATATGCATGAGTAAATGTTTATTAATACAAATATTAACAGTGCATATAAGAGGAATAATGTTAGCTATGAAATAGTATTTCGTATGAGTTCAGCCCAGTGCAATGTGTTATTATATGTGCTTCATCTCTGATTCTCACCGCAGCCCTGCCAAGTGGATTGTATCACTTCTGTGTGTGTGGTTTTTTTTGGTTGTTTTTTTTTTTTTTCTTAAGAAAAATGAAGCTCAGAAAGGGTTAGTCAAATAGGTCACACATTGTCCTACAGCAGAAGCAAATGTGAAACTAATTCTGTCTGACTCCAATACCAGGGCTCTCCCCAATATACAGAGCTGCCTTTTGATCATCGTTAAGATCCCGAAAGACATGAATTAGATTCTGATTTAGTCTTTCTCCATTTCTTTCCAGCTCCAAGTACAGCCCAGTATGGGATTACCGGGAGCGCCGACGTTCTTTTCTCCTGCTGGTACCTTGTGTTGACACTGTCCTCTTTCACCAGCATATTCCACCTGAAGAATGCCATTCTACAATAAATGTAAAGACCCATACAAGGTTCTTAAGAATTCTCTGAAAGTGCTGATGGCTGGATCCAATCTGGTACAGTTTGTTAAAAGCAGCGTGGGATATAATCAGCAGTGCTTACAAGGGATGATCGCCTTCTGTAGAATTGCTCATTATGTAAATACTTTAATTCTACTCTCTTTTTTTGATTAGCTACATTACCTTGTGAAGCAGTACACATTGTCCTTTTTTTAAGATGTGAAGGCTCTGAAATTACTTTTAGAGGATATTAATTGTGATTTCATGTTTGTAATCTACAACTTTTCAAAAGCATTCAGTCGTGGTCTGCTAGGTTGCAGGCTGTAGTTTACAAAAACGAATATTGCAGTGAATATGTGATTCTTTAAGGCTGCGATACAAGCATTCATTTCCCAGTTTCAATAAGAATCCACATTTACAAAGATGCGTTTTTTTCTCTTTTGATAAAAAAAGCAAATAGTATTGCCTTCAGATCATTTCTTGAAAATACACACATATCTAGATTTTTCTGCTCGCATGATATTCAGGTTTCAGCAATGAGCCTTGTAATATAACTGGCTGTGCGGCTCTGCTTCTCTTTCCTGTAAGTTCAGCATGGGTGTGCCTTCATGAAATATTTCTCTCTTCGTCTTCAACTAATAAAAACATATTGCCAAACCCTACAATTGAAAGCAAAAAATGAATTATAAGGATAAAGTTAAATCATATCCTATCTCTAAAGAGTAAAGTAGCTAGAGGACTGTAAAAACCTCTTCATTACCAGTGGAGTTTGCAAAATTTACCCCACAATAACTCAATTTTGTGATGAAAAACAACTTAATTAACCTAATACAGGTACCTTTGACATATGATTTATTTCAATGTAGCTAAACATCATATCCACTTTGAGAAATACTTCCCTTTAAAATGGCAGCACAGTCCAGCCAAGAGATTGCTCAGCAACCCATCTTTTCCTTTCACTAAAGGACACAAATTCCAATCACCTAATATTACCTGACTTGGGAAGAACTCAGAATTAATTTGGTTCCATGGCAAGAGAAGTGGTGTGAGAAGGTGCTCCTGTTGACAAGAGCATTTTGCATACTTTTCATCTGAAAACATCACTCAGTTGATAGTTTGGAATGCATGTTATATAAAATAATTGTTCAAAATATATTGTAACAAATATTTCATGCTGGTCTGTAGCAGATCAATCCCGGAAGTAACTAATTCTATAATACAATATTTCTTCATAGCTATGTCAACCCAAACAAGTAAGACAAAAAAAAAATTAACCATGTTTTATCTTTTTCTTACATGGTATAAGGATGATATGATCAAATGAAGACAAGACCAGTGATGAGAATATCTTAAGATATTAACTATTAAATTATCATAAGTATTAAATTATTTATGTCAGAATGAAAACTACATTTTTTAAGGAAAATGCTGTTACTTTAAGAAGTATTTTATATTACAGGAATAGTTTGATGGTTTTATTCTTTATTTAAAAAGACATAGCATTGAAAATAATTTTACAAATTTTACAAAATTACCAATTTCACTATACCTACAGAAATTTCTACAAATAGTCAGTCCCCTTTGCAAGCCATAAAAACAACAAAAACGTACTAATAAAGATAAATACAGAAAATTCATAGAAATTATACATATTTAAGATATCTAATATTTTACCCAGAAAAAGATAACTTGGAAATTGGGGGGGGGGGGGGGTTCAAGTAAAATTTGGTCCCAAAGTAATCTATTTTAATTAGAAAAATGAATCCTAATTGAGGAGGCTTAAATATACAATGTTTTCACAAAATGGCAATAACATGGCATGATGCTATTAAATTTACTCACTAATCATTTATTACATTATTTTAACTGATGTATTAAAATGTTCTTTTAAATATATATGTCATTCTAACTTTGATTATAATTGACTTTCTTTTTTAAAAATACCCTTTGTGGAATTTGGGAGCAAATTACAAAGTTGGGGTTTTTTTTTATGTTTTGGTTTTTATTTGTATTGCAGCTTTAAAGTGGCACACTCCATAATAATCTACTTACTAGAAATAGTGGTGCTACCACAACAAAAGTGTTAACCATCAGTATCCTTGTTTGGGAGAAAGAAACAGATCGAGAATGCATATTATACAGTGACCACTTTCCTAGAGTTAAAAATACCTCCTCTTTGTAAGGTTTGTAGGGTAAATGTGAGATAAATCGAGATATAAACTATGGATGAACCAAATAATTAGTTCAAAGTGTTGTCATGATTCCGAATTTGTGGAGTCTGGTGTTATTACCATAGAATGTGACAGAAGTACAGTCATAGCTCAGTAGCTATATGTATTTGCCTTTATGTTAGAAGAGACATTCTTGAGTGGTATTTTAAATAGAGGAGGTATTCACTATGTTTTTCTGTATCACAGCAGCATTCCTAGTCCTTAGACCCCTGGACAGAGTGAAATCATGAGTATTTATGAGTTCAATATTGTTCAAATAAGGCTACAGTATTTGCTTTTTTGTGTGAATGTATTGCATATGATGTTCAAGTAGATGATTTTACATTTATGGACATATGAAACGTCTGATTACTTCATTTTATCAGTCCTGACTGTACAAGATTATTGCAATTTCAGAATAGCAGTTTTATGAAATTGATTTATCTTTTGATGTATAATAATTTTTTCTAGCTATTCATTTCAGCATTATATTTCCACAACTTACATTTGTGGGATTCCTTTTGTTGCCCTGAATTTCTTTTTCAAAGAAAGAAGAAAGAAAAACATAAAAAGAAGTTGAGAAAGGATAGTAGAAAGAAAAGGAAAAGACAGAAAAGTGAAGGAGGTAAAGACAGTGGGATAAAAAAGAAGGAAGAAGGAAGGGAGGGAGGGACAAATGGAGATGGGAGGGAGGAAGAAAGGAATGAAGGGGAAAAGAAGAAAAGCAAGAATAGGAGGAAGGGAGGAAGAACTGGAATATTAGGGTAGTTCATTTGCATTCTTGGTTTAATTGAAAATGCTGTAACTATGTTTTACAGTGATCCTATTCAAAACAAAAGTCCTGTTACACCATGAAGTTCCTATTATGTAGCAATTATATAATGAAAAGTACTACCCAAATTATAGTATTGTGTGTTATGGGGGACTCTAAAAGATTTGAGAGAGCGAATGTTAAACATAACGCTACTTTTGGAGGATTTAAAACTTAACTGAAAAATTAATGGTTCATCATAACATTTATACTATATCTAGAAAGTAGACTGGAGAACTGAGAAAATTAGCCAGATAATTCAGGACAAATTATATAGACATAAATACCCCAATGTGTGAACTCAGAAAACTGAGAAGTTTATCAAAACCAATCATCTATATTGATCAAATTTTTGAATATTGTTAATTTATCCATTGTGTTTAGCTTTGTGACACAGCCAAAAGTTACCTATTTAACCTTTTCAATAAAAATTGTTTTTGAACTTCAGAAATGATTTAAAAAGAGGTCAGGTTTTTAACTATTTATTGAAGTATGTGGATGTACAGTATTTCAATAGATATGAATATGAATAAATGGTATGCCTTAAGATCCTTTGAATATGTATTTACTTTAAAGACTTGGAAAAACTCTTCCTGTCTTTTAGTAAAACATCCATATTTCATAATCTGATGTAAAATATGTTGTACTGTTTCCAATAGGTGAATATAAATTCAGTTTATCAATTAAAAAATGTATTTGATTTATTTTAAAACTCTATCAGTTTAAGAGGCAGAAAAAGGAAGAACAGAGTTTAAACATATTTCTGCTATTCCCTTCTTTGTGTTTCATCCATTATACCACACTCATATCTTTTAGGTACTCCAAAGAAATACAGGGTGAAAATGTGGGATCCTACAATATCAAAGGACTCTACCTTGTAGCCTTTCCAAAAGGTCTGACAAATTGGACTAGATCTATCCTAAAGAAGAAGTATTTTAGAAAGATTTTATTATTATTATTTGGAACTTTTATCTGCTGAAAAGCAGCAGAGAGACTGACTGATGATAAAATCTTGTTGGTTTTATCAGTTAAGTATCCCAAAACTTAAATGCTTATAGGATTCAGACAGAGAGCACAATTTTATAAGACAACTGGGTATAAAACAGGGAGCATTACTCCACCTCAAGGCATTCAGATAAGTTTTTTTTAAACTTAGTTTTCCAAGTAAGACATGATTTTTCTGAGAACTTAGTTTGTAACTACTATAATATGCAAATGAGAGCACCCAAATGAATGATTTAAGCCCTCTTCTCCAAAGCAACACATCTATGATGGTCAACCAACTAAAAGAGAATATAAACATAAAAACAGTAAACCTTTGCAAAGATACATGCTTGGTGAAATAAGCTGAAATATGTGTGTCATTGCTATTCTAGGAAAACCACATCTACCAAATCCCTTCCCCCCAATAAAAATAAAAGCACACTAATAAACATCTGATTTTCCCACTGGCTCATTACTTATCCCTTTGTAACTTTTATACTGCACTTGATCTCATGAAAGCAGAAGCATCAAGTCTCAGACCCTCCAAGTTAGCATGTCAAGCAGAACTATTTTCTCTTTGAACATGACAGGCTTAGAACACTGTTGCTTCAAAACCACACCCAGGCTTTTGGGAAATAGTTGCTTACTTCAGCCTGTCAGGCAGAAATTTAAAAATTTTTAAAGTTTCCAAGAATAATTCATTTAACATAGTGAAATTCGATCCAAACACCAAAGTACCTCCCTTGAACTTCCCAAAATGAATATGATTTCATCTTCATATGCACCTTTTTCTAACAATTCTATTTACTGAAAATATTTAGGGATTCGCATTTCTAAAGGAAAGAGAACAGATTGACAAGTAAATCAAATAAATAATTTTCAGTCTTGTGGGAGAGGAAGAAAGAAGGAACACTGTTCGGTCTTCTTTCTAAAAGCTCTGCCCACAATCATACTAAGGCTAGCATGACTCTCCCAACACATTCAATCT